TGGAAAGTGAAGGTTTCATTTGTTAAACCCTGATCGTTCTTGATCACCAGGAGGCCAAGACTCTTTTACAAGAACGTGTTAAGTTGATAGAAAGAGTGGACATGGATGTCGATTATAACATTGAAGGTAATTTGTCATCCTTTTATCAACTTTTCTGTGTTGTTATTTCTTGTTTGTCTGTTTTTCCCCGTTGTGTTTATCTTTGTACGTTGGATGTTTTCGGTTGGCAATGACAGATAATTAAGAGCACGTTGAAAACAGTAAGCAAATCAGTGATCGCAGGGAATTAACTGATAACCGTATAACGTTTACAGACTATGTGAGGCAGCTGGACGAGTTACTGGCTAAAGAAAGCGAGAAAATAACAGAGCTTCGAGGTGGGTGTTGTTGTTCTCCTTGGTTTGAATTACTGTGTAACCCCGCCATACCGCCACCTTGTTATTACCGCCACTTTATTCTGGTCCGAACAAAAGCTTAGTCAGTCATTTTCTTATTTAGAGAACCCCTTTTTAGGACCACCCGTTATACGGCCAGATTTTTGTGGCCCGTTGGTGACCGGATTTTTTAACAGGGTTCCACAGTACACTAATAAAACAAAAAAGAAACTCCTCTACTTGTAGTCCCTTTACTCCGCTAATTCGTCCAAAATCTAACAGAAGTCGAAAAGGTCGGTTCTCTTATAACATGACTTCAATGCAGCACGTGTAATGCCACATTTTTCAAAGTAACTTGTTTTGTGACTTGTTTCATTGTGACATGGTCAAACCCACCCCACCCCCCTCGCCAAGACCTCCTGCGCCATATACTTGTTTACTTTTGTATTTCACAACGTTTCACCTAATTGCTTTGTCCTTTATTTTTGTTCTCATTCAGAAAAAGTAAACAAGTTTAAGAAGCAACTTGAAGAGGAAGAAATAGCGAGCAGAAACATTAGAAAGTTACCAGGTTACTAAGGAAAAAACTAATAGTCTGCGGCCCCAGGGTATCACCGTGGGGTTGTCTGTAGTGGCTATCCCGGATGAGCGCAACCCAGCTACTTCATAAAATGGTGGCCAAGAAAGTTAGTGGTGGATTTTGGACGTTTTAATGCACGTTCATGGAAACGTTATTTATCTATATCTTGTACAGGTTAAAACGTGTGGACAGATTTATAATCTGGTGTGGTATTTGTCAGTGGAGTTGTAAAATGTTTATTTATTGCTTGAAGTATGTGTGAAAACGTTAAACAGATAGCAATGGTAAAGTGGTCGTTGTTTAGCACAGATGTATTATATTATTAACAGATTTTGCCGTTTAAATGGACTCACCATCTCCGTTATATACATATAAATGCTAAACCGTCGCTCGCCAAAACAATTTTGTGGAACAAGGACGTCAAATGGCACTCGACGGACGGTTTCGAGTCGCATTTCTCAATCCAAAAGAACACTCGAAATACTGCGAATGTATGACAGCGACAGCATGACTTCATGAAGATAAGTTGTGTTGCTAAGCAACAAAACCTCTGACGAAAATCAGGGACTGGGTCAAGTCGTGCATGGAAACGAGGATCGACCGAAATAGTTCTGATAGCAGTAACCAATGAAATAAGGGAAGTAATGAAGATTTCCACGGCTGTTCTTACGTTGCCCGCAGGAAAGCAAATACACAGCAGTTTTGTGAACAAAAAGGCGCGCATAAGCTTTAAACCACCGTATTCTTAACGCACGTGTCAAACTAGGTTCCTTGTTCTGTGAGAGAGAATGATAATTAAAAATCTTAAACTGGATGTCATTTGTCAATTGATTAGAACTGTTTCTTGACTTTTCATTTTGCGAGTAACCTTGTATCCTGCTTCTGCAGAAGAGTAGGGATGGCTCAGTGGTGAGAGTGCTCGCCTCCCACCAATGCGACCCGCGTTCGATTCCGGCCCGGTGCCATATGTGGGTTGAGTTTGTTGTTGGTTCTCGCCTTGCTCCGAGTGTTTTCTCGGGGTTCTCCAGTTTTCCTCCCTCCTGAAAAACCAACATTTCCAAATTCCAATTTTTACAATTTATTTATTTCAAGGGATTATTTTTCAGTCAAACGAAGAGGTCTGGTAGCGAACCAGTGACATTTAAACGTACGTCACACTATGGTAATTTTCTTCTTCAGCCGTAATATCTTTTCCATTACAGTTTTTAACTCGATAAGAATCGTCCTTAAAACATGAACAGCATTTTCTCCGAAGCCGTTTAGCTGCTGATCTTTTCTCCATGAACTCGGCCAGAGCATTAAGCGCACTAGAAACCACACACAAACCAAGCGTGGTCCAAGTCAGGTGAAATGCTATATTGGCTGTTTTCCGAGCTGCATTTTTTGAATGCTCACCATTTTGGGAAGAGGCTGTGGTTCTAGAGAAGCCTGGTACGTAATCGCCATACCCGATCGTTGAGAAACTGATAAACCAAAAATAAAACCCTTCAAGGAATGTCATATCATTAGCGTCATCGGTATACATTTGCAGTGTTGTTCCCAGTACTAACATTATTAACATAAGCACGCAAGTCACTGCAGTACTCTTGGCCGCCACGTTAGCCGGTTCTCGTTTGAAGTATTTTCTTTCAATCTTTGTGATGAAGGAGCTGATTCCACGGCTGATTAACTCACCAACTGACTTAAATGCCAGGATGGTTACAGGAATGCCCAGTACGGCAAATACGACACACAGAGCTTGACCAAGACTTGTGGACGGAGCTAGCCTGCCGTATCCTAAAAAGTATAAATGAAATCATAGTAGATATTTTTTTTTTTTTTATCGAGTAAAGATATTGTTTCCCGACTCTGTAGTAGACATAATAAAAACAGAGATGCCGAGTTAAGCAGAGTGAATGTTTTAGCGATCACGAGCTTTCGACGCTGTCACAGCGTCTTTCTCAAGTGAATATAGCGAGAATCTACTTGTCACGTGAACTTGGGGGGACCAAGTCACCTTCCAAAACATTCTCATATAGGGCCGGAAGTTCAAGTCCACGGTCTCGACTGCATTTTTTTATTTGTTTGTTTGATGGACCAGTTTAAATTGACCGGGTTTGGGACAGGGAATCGGATACCTGGAGTTAAGTGGGAACGCTCTTCCCTTTCCACCCCCAGACAATAGGGATTTTATTCATTCAAACGATATTCCAACAATTGTTTGCGGGTAAGAGGCAAGAAGGTTCTGGAGCAACCTCCTTTCCCGGGGTCTCTCATCTTTCCGCCCTCCCGGAGCGAGAGAGGAGAAAAGATGAGATACCCTGGGAACGAAGCTGAGGCAAGCACTCGGAAAATTGAATCATGGCCTGCCATGATCACCGAGAGCATTAAATAACATTTTTTTTTTGGTAAAACATTCTAGGTTCGGCTTACCAATAGTCGTCAATGTTTCGAATGCAAACCGCACGCTTTGGAAATAACTCCATGAGGGCCCAGCCATATTAAATGCATCGTCAGTGATCTCAATGAAATTATCAAAGTCGTCTTGGGACATGTTGTATTTCTTTGCCATGTCTTCTCTCAGGCTGACCAGAAGTTCTTCCTTTCTCTTTAAATTATTTACGGCATTGGGATGTTCCACTGCGGCGAAAATTAACCCTCCAGATGCTGCGAGCACGGAGAACGCGATCACGCGAAACAGGGTCTTCCACAACAACGGGCGGGCACTTTGTGAACAACAGCCACTCATGTTGAGAAAGGTCTAAAAACAAAAAGGATGTTTCAAATTGCATTTACAAGTAAAAGCAGTGCAGTAATGAAAATGTCTCATTCTTGGATTCAGTTACGAACTGACCGACTTCAAAACCATGAAAAATGTGCATGGTTGCCACTTCGCCTTAGATTTGCCTAAAGTTCGTGCTCGACTTCGTTTTCCGATTTCAATGTTGATTTCTCCCGCTTTCGACCTCGTTTTCCGACTATGAAATGCGGCTTCGGTTTTTAAGTTAGTGAGGGAAACCTGAAAATATCTTTCGATATGAACCTTTAAGGCCACAACTGGTTCAATAATATTGCACGAACTGATTTTGTGAAGAAGTAGGTCGTTTGTTTCCTAATTTTAATTTAAACAAGTTGTCATTTCGTTCACTTTTGCGCTAATCTGCATAAGACGCATTCAACTTTCGGTGTTCTGTTTTTAAATTTAGGCAGGCAGAGATGAAATTGCAAGTAATTATTGAGATCAGCCTAGTCGGGAGTTTTTTAAATTGATTCCTTTTCCAACATGATCATTTCCTATATCATTTTAATCGTCTATCAATACAAAGTATCAAAACAACTCGATATCGTACATCATGGACATGGTCTTCTGTATTGCTGGTTTTCGGTGTCACGCCACTCAAAATAGATCAGAATAAAAATCAAAACCGTTCAATAGATAAAGTCCAGAATCTGGGAAATGAAAGAAGGTTAATATGCAAAGACTCTCGCCAAGATTCTGGTCACAGCAATTTTTCTTATGCAAGATATGC